AAGGTTATAGAAGAACCATAAGGAAGGAAGGAAGTACTTTAAGACCCTCGATAAACCCGAAAAACCATGCTAAAGTTGGTAAAAATTTACCACCACCACCAAAAGCTGGGTAAAAACACCAAAAATTTACCATTTGCTGCCGAAAATTCATCGACCGCAAATTACCAACACACATATTTCGGTTAAAATAAACCGCGCGCTCAGTTAATTCAATAAAAATGCCGTGAATGACACCGAAAATGCCATTAAATTCACCAAAAATAACCCAAAATTACCAACATTACCTACAAGTACCATCAAATTACCACTAAAATTACCAAAAAAACCACCACCACCACAAATAAACCCCATTAGAGAAGCGCCAACTATAAGCTTAAGCCACCTACAAGTAAGTGCAAACTCAACTAAACCATTGCAAGCCACTACACCGCCAACATCAAATCCAAAGAAACCAAAATTAACCTCAGGTCAAAGGTCAAGTTCAACGATTTCTCCAAAAATTACCGCGTTAACGAGTAAATTCAACGGAAATCACGATAGAATTTGTTATGAAAAGCAGCGAAAGGACTAGAAAAGTAACGAAAAGCGAAGAAAAGTAACGGAAAACACAACAAACACAGCAACAACAACCACCTTTTATTAATTAATTAGTCATCAACCACACACCAAATCATTCTTGTAACGAACCACTTTGATCTGCAGCTGCAGCTCCAGCTCCGGCCGAAGTATGATCTTCAGGTTCGGGTTGTTCGAGTTTAATGGCTGTGGCACGAGATGAGTCCACCACCTCATCATCAGCACGCATCTCGTGGGTGACGGTGCTCATGCTGGTCATCGCACCTGCGGCACCCGTCTCCAATCCTCTCGCCGTCGATAGACCGCCCGTGCCGGCACCGGCACCACCATATGATGAACTCGTTGTGGTGCGATACGTGTACATATCTTTAGCTTGTGAAATATCAACTGGAGAATATTGACTGATTTTGGCATTTTGGCACGGAATGTCGAGCGATTTTTAGCAGAAATTCTGGGGAAATGGGGAATTTGGCCGGAATTTTTGACATTTTCAGTGAAAATTTGCTAAAATTCAATGAAAATTGACCATTTTTACGGGAAAGTTGGCCGACATCGATAAAAAATGGCTGTTTTCATGCATAATTTGGCCAATTTCATTAAAAATAATCAAAATTTCATCTAAAAATGGACATTTTTAATCGAATTTTGGCCAAATTCATTAAAAATAATCAAAATTTCATCTAAAAATGGACATTTTAAATCAAAATTTGGCAAATTTCATCGAAAATAATCAAAATTTCATCTAAAAATGGCCATTTTTAATCAAAATTTGGCAAATTTCATCGAAAATAATCAAAATTTCATCTAAAAATGTCCATTTTCAATCGAATTTTGTCTAATTTCATTAAAAATAATCAAAATTTCATCTAAAAATGGCCATTTTTAATCAAAATTTGGCAAATTTCATCGAAAATAATCAAAATTTCATCTAAAAATGTCCATTTTCGATCGAATTTTGTCTAATTTCATTAAAAATAATCAAAATTTCATCTAAAAATGGCCATTTTCAATCAAATTTTGGCTGAAATGTAATAAAACAATCAATTTCTCACGAAATAGTGGCCATTACCATTGATAATTTGGCTGGAATCGATAGAAAATGGCAATTTTTATACAAAATTTGGCCAAATTTATGGAAAATGATCAATTTTTAAGCGAATTTAGCCAAAAATCTTGACATTTTCACTGAAATTCCGTTCAATTTCAACCTAAATTGACAAAAAGTGACTGATTTTATACGAAATTTGACCAAATTCATGGCAAATGACCACTTAATCAACCCTATTTTACAAGAAATGTGGCCAAAAACGGTCATTTTCACATTAAATTTGACCAAATCTAACAGAAAAATGAGTATTTCAGTCTCTAATTAACGTCCGATAATTGAATCGGATGAATATTCTCTGCAAAAGCACTAAATTAAGCGATACCCGGTTCCTTGAACGCGATGCTCGATGTTGGAGCTCTATAGAATTCGGTGCCGAGTGACGAGAAGTCCATGCGTGGTGACATTCCATACGAAGAGTATGAACCACGGCTGTAAATTTTAACGATTGCTCGATAAATTAACGAATTCGAATGAATTTTAACGAATTTCAAGAAAAAAACCCGCAAAATTTAGCGGATTCCGTTAAAACTCCGGTAAAATCTAACGACAATACCACAAAAATCAACGAAATTTAACGACTTCCGCTGAATTCTCCCTTAAAACTACCGAATTTCAGTCAAATTCATCGAAAAATTGCCAAAATTATCCAGATTTTACACGAATTCTACCCGAAAAAAGCCTCTAACCTTAACAAAAAGAAAGATAACCACCAAAAAATTACCAATACTCACAAAAAATTACCAACAACCACTCAAAAACTACCAATAACCACCAAAAATTACCGATAACCATCAAAATTTAACGATAACCACCGAAAAATTACCAACAACCACCAACAAACTACCAATAACCACCCAAAAATTACCGCTAACCACCAAAAACTACCAATAACCACCCAAAAAAACCAAACACACCTCGCTATATAATCATAATCCGAGTGTGGATACAACGACGGGCCCACACCCGCCCCCGCACCGAGACTCATGCCACCCGCAGAGGGTATGGCAGAGGCAGTGCCCCCGTAGAAACTCTTATTGGAGAGTTTAGTGATGTCGTTGATGAGCATTCTGTCGGTGGCATCCTTTCTGCGACGACGTTCGTTGACGAGTTGGTCTTTGATGGCTTGCAGCTGGTTCTCGAGTTGTTTGATGCGGTTGCGTTGCGTGCGGTCGCGATTCTCGACGATACGCTCGTACTGAAACACTATTTTTGAAGTTACGACGTTAATTTCTACCGTTACTTTTAACGTTACTTTTTGTCGTTACTCTCTACTCTTAAAGTTACTTTCAATTCGTTACTCTTTACGTTACTTTCTGTTGTTACTCTCTACTCTTAAAGTTACTTTCTATCGTTACTCTCTACTCTTAAAGTTACTTTCTATCGTTACTCTCTACTCTTAAAGTTACTTTCTATCGTTACTCTTTACGTTACTTTTAACGTTACTCTCTACTCTTAAAGTTACTTTCTATTGTTACTCTTAACTGATTACTTTTCCAGAAACCTCATTGAATCGGCTGCGTATAGTTTTCGACGAGATTCTATACAAAACTACACAAAGTCGTAGCATTTGTATGGATAAAACTATGAAACATCAAAAATTAACGGATTCCCCCAATCACGTGATATTCACGTGCACAAATCAACGGATTCCTTCGATCACGTGACAGTCACGTGTGAAATTTAACAGATCACTTCAGTCACATGCAAAAATTAACGGATTCTCCACAATCACGTGATATGCACGTGCAAATTCGACGTATTCCTTCGATTAACGCTAAAAAAAAGTAAATCAACCCCCCCAAAAGTAAACGCACCTGAGCCTTCTCATTGCGCACGCTCTGCACAAATCGATCGTGTTCTTCACGTTGTTTATTCGTCAACGCGATCAGTCGATTGCCACTGTCCAATTCCAGCTGGGCCACTTGCTGTTGCAGTTGCGCTGAGTTCTTGTATAGTTCCTTTAATTTTTTAAAATAAATATTAATTGATTTCTTCGATCACGTGATAGTCACGTGCAAATTTAACGCATTTAGTAGTTACATT